ATTTTTCTTTTAAATGTTGCTTTTTAAAAAACAGCTTTATGGAGGTATAATTTATATACCATAAAATTGACCCATTGTAAATATACAATTTGATGCTTTTTAGCAAATTATAGTTAAGCAACCATCACCACAATTGTTTTAGAACATTTCTATCACCCTAAAAAGTTCCTTTATGCCCGTAATTTATTTTGATAACAGCTTCATTGAAATATTTATATGCTATACAAGTCAGTCATTTAAAGTGTACAAGTCAATGTTTTTTACTGTATGCATGAGTTATGCAGCTATCACCACAATGAATTTTAGAACATTTTGTCACCCCCAAAAGAAGCCTCACATCCAATTAGTAATCACTCCCCAGTTCCCCCACTATCAGCTCTCAACCCTATGCAACCAATCTACTTCCTGACTTTATGGATTTGTCTATTCTGAGCATTTCATACTAATAGAATCAAACAGTATGTGGCCTTTTGTGGCTGGCCTTTTTCACTTAGCATCAGGTTCTCAAGGTTTGTCCATGTTGTAACAAGTATCAGTACTTCATTCCTTTTTATTGCCAAATAATATTTCATTATATAGGTATATGATATTTATTCATTCATCCATTAGTAGACAGTGTTTTTCCCCACTTTTGAGTTATTATGAATAATGCTGCTGTGAATATTTGTGTGCAAGTTTTTGCGTGGACATTTGTTTTCATTTCATTTTTGTTCTCTACATGGGAGTGAGATTGCTGGGTATGTGGTAATTCTATGTTTAACTTTTTGAGAAACTGCCAAACTCTTTTTTCCAAAGTGGCTGTACCATTTTACATTCCTATCAGCAATTTACTAGGGTTCCAGTGTCTTCACACTCTCATGAACACTTATTACATTATCTTTCTTTTTAATGATAGCCATCTTAGTAGGTATGAAGTGGTATCTCATTGGATTTGATTTGCATTTTCCTTATGACTAATGTTGAGCATCTTTTCCTGTGCTTGTTGGCCATCCGTTTTTGTTTTTTTTTTGTAAAAATGTATATTCAGAGACTTTGCCCATTCTTTAAATTATTAACCCAGCGTCTATAATAAATATAGGTTTATCAGCATAGTTATTTCTCTTCATATGAGTTTTGGTAGTTTCTTCAAGGAATGGTCTTTTTAATCTAGGTAATCAGATTTGTGGGCATAAATTAATTCATAATATTCCTTATCCTTTTAATGTATAAGAGATTTGTAATGAACCCTCTTATGTTTCTTTTTTAAAAAATTGTATTAAAATATACATAACAATGCATATTATATCTGGTGGTATGGTGTCTGTTATTAGTTTTGGAAAATTCTCAGCCATTTAAATTTCAAATATTTCTTCCTCTTCTGGTACTCCAGTTACACACATGATAACACTCTAAAATTATCTCACAATTCCTAGATATTTTGTTCTGTTTTCATTGTATTTTTCAATTTGTATTTTAGTTTGGGAAGTTTTTATAGACATATCTTCAAGATCAATGATTCTTTCCTTGGTCATGTACAGTCTACTGATGAGCCTACTATTCAAGGCATTCTTCATTTCTGTTAGTGCTTTATTTTTAGCCCATTGTTTATTTTTAAATTGGGTAATTTGTCTTTTTATTGTCAAAATGTAGGAGTTCTTCATATTGTTTGGATATTAAATCCTTATCAAACTCTTATAGGTCATTTACAAGTATTTTCTCCCATTCTTCGGTTGTCATTTCACTTTCTTGGTAGTATCCTTTAAAACAAAAATTTTTAGTGTTAAAGAAGTTTAGTCTATTTTTCCTTTGGCTGCTTATAATTTAGATATCATATCTATAAAACCATTGTTTAATGTTATAAAATTAATACATGTTTTCTTAGAATTTTAGCCCCTAGATTTATGTCATTCATCTATTTTGAGTTAATTTTTGTATATGGTATGAGGAAGGGAAGGGGTCCATCTTCATTCTTTTACTTATGTATACTAGTTGTCCCAGCAACATTTTTTAAAAAGACTAAGAGTTTCTTTATCGAATTTTCCTGACACCATTGTCAAAAATCAGTTGGCCATAAATATCGTTTATTTTTGGAGTCTCAGTCCTTTGACATTGATCTAGATGTCTACCCTTATGCCAGTCATAGTCTTTTTACAGACTTGTAATGAAATTGGAAATCAGGAAGTGTGACTTTTTTCCAACTTTGTTCTTTTTTTTCAAGGTTATTTTGGCCATCTCAAGTCCTTTATATTTCCATATGAATTTTAGGATCAGCTTGTCAGTTTCTGCAGTGAAGCTAGCTTGACTTTTGATAGGAACTACATTGAATAAATATGGGGAGTATTGCCATTTTATTAAATTAAGTCTTCCAATACATGAACATTGATGTCTTTCTATTTATGTAGGCCTTCTTTAATTTCTGATGTTTTGTAGTTTCCTTGTACAAGTCTTATATATATTTTTTGTTAAATTTATTCCCATGTTTTGTTCTTATTGGTGATATTAATAAAGGGAATTGTTTTCTTAATTTTATTTTTAGATTGTTCATTGTAGGTGTATAGAAATTCATCTGATTTTTGTATATTGATTTTGTATCCCACAATCTTGCTGAACTTGTTTATTGGCTCTAGTTTTGCATTTTCTTTTTAACCTGGATGCCTTTATTTCGTTTTCTTGCTTAATTCCTCTGGCTAGAATGTCTAGTACAGTGTTAAACAGAAGTGGTCAGAGTCAACATGGGCATCCTTGTCTTTTTCCTGATCTTAGTGGGAAAGCATTTCGACTTTCACCATTAATTATAATGATAGCTGTGGACTTTTGGTAAATACCCTTTATCAAATTGATTACATTGATTAATTTTCATATGTTGAACTAATCTTCCATTCCTGGGATACTTGGTTTTGGTGTATAACCTTTTTTTTATATGTTGCTAGAATTGGTTTGCTAGTATTTTTAAAGAGATTTTTTTGTTTGTTTTCATAAGAGATACTGGTCTGTAGTTTTCTTGTGATGTTTGTCCAGTTTTGGTATCAGGGTAATACTAGCCTCATAGAATGAGTTGGAAAGTGTTCCCTCCTCTCTAATAAGGAGTCTGCGAAGTGTATTGTTAATTTTTTGTTAAATTTTTGGTAGAATTTACCGGTGAAGCATCTGGACTTGGGCTTTTCTTTATGAGTAGTTTTCTTTATTTTTATTAAACCATAATTTGATATCTTGTTGTAGGGTCTATCAGATGTTTTAGTTTTTTCTTGAGTCAGCTTCTGTTTGTATCTTTCTAAAAATTTGTTTAAGTTACCTAATTTGTTGGTATACAGTTGTTCCTGGTACTCATATATAAACTTTTTATTTCTGTAAGGTTGGTAGTAATGTCCTGTCTTTTATTTATGAATTTAATAATTTGAGCCATTTTGTTGGTCAATGTAAGTAAAGTTTTCACTTTTGTTGCTCTTTTCAAAGAACCAAGTTTTGATTTTGTTGATTTTTCTCTATTTTCTGTTCTCTGTATCACTTAATTTTTCAGTAATCTTCTTTTTCCTTGTGTTTGCTTTGGGTTTGATTTACTCCTTTTTTCCCTAGTTTTTCACAGCGGAAGTTGGGATAATTGATCTGAGATCACTCCTCTTTTTAAAATATAAATGTTTACAGCTATAAATTTGTTAAGTACTGCTTTTGCTAAGTCCTATAATGCCATGTTTGTTTTCTTTGTTTTCCTTTTAAGGAAAGGAAATACACTTTTCCATTGTTTTGGGGCTTGCGTTGATTTGAGCTTACTTAAATGACATGAAATTGCTAATATCCAATTAGTTTTGACCTGTAGAAATAGTAATGTCCTATGGTTCATTCTAATACAGATTACTCTCACAAACATCTCCCATTACCCCAGTATTATCTTATTTTTACAATCTAAGAAAACAAGCTCAGGAATGATAATGGGACTTGCCTAGGTTAATGAGACTGACATGTCTCAGGATAGACCTAAGACATTATTCAAGACCTTTATGTCCTGTAATAATAGTTACAAGGAGCTTTTGATCTGACTGAGACAGGTGCATGTGAAAGTGACTTACATCCAGCCCCTAATAATGGTTTGTCTCATAGTGTTAGTGGAAATTGTGTCATAATTGATTAATGTACCTGTCATGAAACTAGTGCCTGACATTCTTTGAGAGAGAGAAGGTGTACACGATAAACACAGCTTGGTACCTACTCTGAAGGAGCTTGTGGTCTATAGAAGGAGGGGAATAAATGAACCATTAATTATGATACAGTAGGATAAATGTTAGATGAGGCCCCAGAGGAGGGACACTTACTCTCTTAGAAAGGAGAGAGAGGAAGGCCAATCAAGGAAAGTGCTGTTTGGTTTGCATTTTGAAGATAGAGAAGGAGCTTCCAGGTAGAAAAGATAGGGAGAGGACATTTTAGGAAGGGTAAGAACATGTGCAGAGAGGCTTGTAGGAACATGTAATTTGGAGCCTAGAGTGTGCATTGGGAAAGACAGGCGGGTAGAAAGGAAAGTAGGTGATAAAATATGAAGGGTATTATGTCACAAGGCAAGGAGATGGATTTTTAGCTTATAGGCTGTTGGGGAGCTTTTGAAAGTTTCTGGAAAGAGGCCTTTTAATTATTTGTCCTGGGTGGCTTTAGGAGACAGTTGCTCTCCTTAGACATATATTCTAGTGCAGTTGTACTTCAGTATCTGCAGGGGATTGGTTCCAGGATGCCTGCAGGTACCAAAATCCATGGATGCTCAAGTTCCTTATATAAAATGGCAGAGAGCAATGCATACAGTCAGCTCTCTACATCTGAGGCTTCCCAGCCATAGTTCGAAAATACTTTTTCAATCTGTGGTTGGTTGAATCCACTGATATGAAAAACCCAAGGGTACAGAGGGCTGACTGTATATTTACTGAAAAATATCTGCATTTCAGTGGACCCACACCATTCAAACCCGTGTCATTCAAGGGTCAGTTGTAGTTCTTTCCTTACGAGTAAAATGTTTATCTTTTTTTTTTTTTAACTCACAGTTCACTGAGACTTTTTTGACGGAACGGGACAAGCAGTCCAAATGGAGTGGAATTCCCCAGCTGCTCCTTAAGCTGTATGCAACCAGCCACCTCCACAGTGACTTTGTTGAGTGCCAAAACATCCTCAAGGTAATTCTTTTGGGCCTTGGAGGGGCTGCATTTAGGACCTCCAGGTAACACAAGATGTATAATTTTTTTTCTCTTTTCTTCAGTCTGCTTTTTAAAATAGCCTGTTTTTAACGTGTAAGCTGTAGAAAATTTGAAAAGAACGTTCAGAAAAAGTGCAAAGAAAATAAAAATCACTTATAAATAAAAACCCCACCACCCAGAGATAACCACCATTAAGTTCTCTATGTATGTCCTTCTGGGCTTTGTTTTGTGTCAGAGTTTGCTTAATTTGGGAGGTCAACATTGTGCCTGGGATTGAGATGACATTTTTTTTTTTGAACAGAGTTTAAAAGATCCCATGTTGCTGAAGATTCTTGGAAGTGGCCTTGGGGTTGTTGATAATTACGACTAACATAAGAAG